ACGCATCTATACATTTATTGGAGAAGTCGTCGTCTCTGTGAATCCTTACAAGTTGCTGAACATCTATGGGCGGGACACAGTTGAGCAGTATAAAGGGCGTGAGCTGTATGAGAGACCACCTCATCTCTTTGCTATTGCTGATGCTGCTTACAAGGCTATGAAGAGGCGATCAAAAGACACCTGTATTGTTATATCAGGTATTCGGAGGAGGCCCTGGTACATCCAACCTCAGAGTGCATTTAACTTACTTAATACTTAAGCATCTACATGACTGATGAAATCTTTTTTTAAGGTTAAAAACCTAAGCATATATATGCACACACATATGTGATTCAAATATGTATCGCATACTTGGATGGTGTCTGGTTAGTTTGTAGACTGAGCTAGCATGGAATATGCTTCCTATCTCAAACAGGTAAAATATAACAAATATTTTAAATAGAAACAATGAAAACAAAATGAAATATTTAGGTGCTAAATATGACAGCTGAACTAAAGTCAGGCAAGTGCTTAGGAGCTGCTGTGGAATACATGCAGAGGCCTAGGGGCCAGACATGGGCTTCAGAGTCCAGGGCCCAAGTTTTCAAAGCCCAATAGGGAAGGTGTGGGATTGCTGGGCCATGCTGGAGAAGGAAAACCACACTACCCATGACAAGCAAGCCCTTCGGGGCTCCTCATGCAGTGACGTGAGGATCTGCTTGCTGGCGCACAGTGTTAGCAATACCTCACGTTTGCATTAGGGGGTGTGCGCCTTTAAAAAACACTTTTAGGGAGGACTGTCTCTGAGTAAAGTGCTTACCTAGCGTACGTGAGGCTCTGGGTTTCACTCCCAATAAGGGGGAAAATATCTTCTATGATCAGTATTTCATTTTTTTTTAATTTTATTTATTTATTTATGTGGGGGGGCAGCTCAGCCCACCAGGGGGCGTGGCTGGCTGGCATGTGGTACTGGGGGATTGAACCGCGGTCCCTGTACTTTGCTAAGCTTCTTCTAAGTAGGTGCTTTAGACCACTCAGCCATCTCACCAGCCCCCAGTATTTCATTTTGCAGAAGGGTTTTTTTTTTTTTTTTTTTTTTGCGGCTCCACATTGACCTCCAGCAGCGCTGGTCTGGGTTGCCTTGAGTATGTGGGAATGGAACCACTGCTCAAAGAGACTGACTGCCTCCTTTAAGCAGGCACTTAAACAACTGAGCTAATGGGCGGGTCCCCCAGTATTTCATTTTGGTTAGCAGTGTAAAATAGTTTTTCTTTAAGTGTTGGACTGGGAGAATTCTATCCTAGATTGTCATTGTATTAAATCAGATTACACTTACAGTATTACCCGGTTGTGCAGGCAGGGGGAGCAGTTAGATAGGTATTTGAAATAAAAGCAGAGTCTTGACTACTTCAGTCCTCCTTTCCAGCAGTAGCAGCTGTTTTGTGTCTACACATGCTTCAGTATATGCAAGTACACAGAGCTGTGTACACCTATGTATTGTATAGTACATACAGCGTGAAGTTTACGTCAGTATTGTGATTCCTCCTTTACTTTTGTTTGCTGTGGATTGCTTTTGCTGTTCTTGGTCTCTTCTGGTTCTGTATAAGTTTTAGCATTGTTTTACCTAGTTCTACATTGAATGTTATTGGTATTTTGACACCACTCATTGGGATTGTGTTAAATTTGTACATTAGCTTTGGAAGTATGCTCATTTTTACTATATTAGTTCTGCTTAATAAATGGTGCTGGGAAAACTGGCTATCCACATGCAAATGATTGAATCTAGACCCATGTATTTCACTATGTACTAAACTAAAATCAAAATGAATCAGAAAACTAAATGTTAAAACAGAAATATTTAATCTGCTAGAAGATTATGGGTAAAACTCTTGAAGTCATAGACATAGGCAAGGACTTTCTGAACAGAGCCCTAGTTGCACAAAAAATAACATTGAGAATCAACAAATGGGATCATATCAAATTAAAATGTCTCTGCACAGCAAAGGAAACAACCAAAAACAGGATTAAGGGTCAACCTGCAGAATGAGAAAAAAAAAAATTGCCAGCTATTCCTCAGAGGACTAATAGCTAAAATATATAAAGAACTAAAAAAAAAAATTGACTCCCCCAAAATAAAAGATCCAGTCAGAAAATGGGCAACTGAAATAAATAAACACTTCTCATGAGGAGTACAAATGGCCGATAGAGACATGAAAAAAATGTTCAACGTCACTGGCCAATAGGGAAATACAAGTTTATACTGAGATTCCATCTTTTTCCAGCAAAAAGAAAAACAGTAAGGGGTAACAAGACTGTGGGAAAAGGGAACACTCCCACATTGTTGTTGGGAATGTAAACCAATAACCCATTATGGAAATCGGTGTAGAGATTCCTCAAAAACTATTCCATTTGACGCAGCTATTCCCCTTCTGTACCTTCCCAAAGACATATTACAGTGATATGTGTATACCCATATTTATAGCAGTACAGTTCATAGTAGCTGAAGTGGCTCATATGTCCATCAGAAGATGAATGGACAGAGAAAGGTGGTATTTATACACAGCAGCATACTTCTTTGCCATAAAGAAGGATAAACTCTGAGTCATTTGTAGGAAAATAGAGACACCTTGATCCCATAGTATTAAGTAAAATAAATCAGACACATAAGCTTAAATTATATGGTTTCTCTTACATGAGAAACACAAAATATAAATACCAAATTAAAAGATAGATACTAGGAAATAGGGAGACAGATCCTTTGCAGGTGAGAAGGGGATGAAAAGAGAGGGGAGAGGGAGAGGAAGAAAGGGGAAGGAAAAAATTGAGATGTGTTGTGTATATATACCAACTCCCCACAGGAAGGTAACCACTGTGTACTCTAAACATACTAGGAAAAAATGAAAACATGGCATTACAGAGTTGCACTTGCTGCTACAGCAAAACATTGTGACGCTGAGTCTTAGCCTTCCTCCAGTACTCCACATGGTTTTAAGTCCTGTAGTGGGCCATTGACTCCTTGACCCAGTTCTCTGCTAATAGGGTTGTTATTTTAGACTGTAGCTAAATCATACAGTGTGATCTACAGCACAGTTTTTAAGCCTTTGAAGAATATTCTTGCCCTTTTTTGATTATGTTAGTACTTTTTAATATTTCCATAGGAGAAGTTTCCAGAAGATAGAGGTAGAACTTGCAAATTGACCCCATCCCTTCTTCACCACTGCTTATCTTGTCATGCTTTTTGTAACTGATATCTTCTGTCTGGGGTTTGCTATGTTGTGTGCTCTCTAAAATCACTCAAAGTTGTTTGTTTGTTTTTGTTAGTCAGGGCATCACCATGTTGCACCAGCCTGTCTTCAGCTCCTGGGCCCAGCAATCCTCCTGTCTTAACCTCCCGAGTAGCCGGTTTTCTCATTGCATGCCATGGCCCCTGGCTCTAAATTTAGTTTTTTAAAAAACAATTATGTTTTCACCTTTGAAATTAAAATATGTGAATTTAGCTGTGGCCACTACCATATTTATAGTAGACTTAGGGATCATTGCCTAATAGGAAACTCTAAGGAATTCAATTACCACAGTTTATTCCTCCAATACTAGGGATTGAACCCAAGACTTTTTTTGCACTGAGCTATATCCTCAGCACCCCCCCCACACACACACACTTTTTTTAAATTTTGAAACAAGGTCTTTCTGTGTCCCTGAGTTTCCCAGGCAGGGTTCAAACTTCTAATCCTCCTGCCTCAGACTCTCAGAGGGCAGGGATTACAGGGATGCATTTGCCACAATGTATACCTTGAGACTGTTTTCCTAGCAAGTCTGGATTTGTAGTCTGTGCTTTACTTCTATACTAGTTTTTTCCCCCAACATGTTTAAATCTGTTAGAACCAATATAGAACATAATGCATTAAAGAGACAGAGAGACAGAGACAGAGACAGAGACAGAGACAGAGACAGAGAGAGAGAGAGAGAGAGAGAGAGAGAGAGAGAGAGAGAGAGAGAGAAGTACAACATGGGAGAATTTAAATGCATAACACCAAA